TAATTACTATAATACTTAAAGTTGTAATATTTAATATTTCTAATACAGTATAGCCAGCCTGCTTAATAGGGACTACTACCTGTAATACTTAATCTTATAATACTTAATAATCTTAATATAGCATAGTCAGTCTGCTCAGTAGGGACAACCACCTGTAATACTTAAAATTATAATATTTAATAGTCCTAATATAGCATAGCCAGCCTGCTCAGTAGGAACAACTATCTATAATACTTAAAGTTATAATACTTAATAATCCTAATGCGATATAACCAGCCTGCTCAATAGGGCTTTTTCTTTCTATATAAGTATTAGTATACTGGATGTAATTAGCAACTGAGTAATAGATTATTTTAAATTAAGAAATATAATTTTAATATTTATTTAATATTAACTACTATACTGTAATCTCTCTAAATCTAGAATAAGAATAATAAGACTATTATATATAATAGAATATTAATAATAATATATATTTATTTTTATTTATTATTTTTTTTTATCTCCACTCTTCCTAGTTCTTTCTAGTTTTTATTAATATTATATTTTTATATACATATCTTATTCTTTCTTTTTTTATTCTGTGTTTTTCTGTTATTCTCTTTTTTTTTTTTAAAAATATATTTTTTTATTTTTTTCTTTCTATTTTGGAGGGTATTCTTTTTTATAATATAACTATATACTATCTATTATCTTTAACCTATATCAAAATACTAAGAAAGCAAATTTGAAGTAAGTCTATAATAAATATTAATAAATTATATTATTCTGATTTTATTTGAAAAGAAGAGTATAATATCTGGAAAATTAATATAATATATAAAGTCCATAATTCTCTCCAAGATAATTTTATAAGATATAAATTATTATAAAATATCTAGAAAAATAGCTATCTACTTAATTAGATTTTTATTATTTATTTATTTTCTAGAATCTCTTCTCCTCTGTACCTTACCAGCTGTACGGAGAAATAAGATAACAAAATATACTAGAAAAATAAATAATTTATAATATTATAAAAATATTACTGCCTGCTCCACCATCTATTTCCTGCAGAGAGTACAGAGATTTAAAAATAATTATTAAAATACAAGCTCAGCAGCCTCACAGAGAGATAAGCTAATAAAATATATTAAATAAAAAAAGAGTTTCTAGTATTATAAAAATACTATCACCTGCTCTATTATCTATTCCATGCAGAAATTACAGAAGTTTAAATTTGATAATAAGATTTATTTTTTTTTTTTTTTTTTTATAATCTTTTTCCCTCTAACCTCACCAGCCGCACGGAGGGGCGAGAGGACGAGGCATATTAAGAAAAATAGTATTATAAATAAATATAATATATATTTACTTTCTAAGCCCTGTTTGACCATCTGTTTACTGCAGAAATCATGGAGATTTAAAGATAATTATTAGAATACAAGCTCAGCAGCCCCACGGAGAGATAAGCTGATAAAATATATTAAGCAGCCGGAGAATCTCTGAATATAAAAGCTTCCAGTATTGTAAGGATATTATTATCTGCTCCATCATCTGTTCCCTAAAGAGGGATCCAAATATTATAAGAACACTGCTACCCGCTTGACCTTCTGTTTACTGTAAAAATTACAGAGGTTTAAATATAATAATAGGATTTATTTTTTTTTTTTTTTTCTTCTATAATTTTTTTTCCTCCAACCTCACCAGCCGCACGGAGGGGCGAGAGGACGAGGTATACTAAGAAAAATAATATTATAAATAAATATAATATCTATTTATTTATTAATTTCTATTATACTTTCTGCAGAAAGAATATTATCTATATACAAAAACTATAATAAAACTGTTAATTATAATATTACCTCTCTTTACCATCTGCTGGCTCGGCGGGATCACGCAGGTCTAGATATATTAATATAATATTATTTTTTTTAATAATTTTATCTTATTTTTATATTATTATTATCTTTATAATTTACTGTTTAATACATAACCTCTGCTTTCTTATAAATAACTGTAGACATATATACAGACTATCAGGTATTAATATTCTTATAGAAAGAAATACTTCTTGAAAATATATAATCTAAATAAAATAAATAATACTAAATATTAAGATAATTACTGAAGTAGGTGTTGTCACGTGCCAGGTATTCAGGCTGTTTATAAATAATTTCTTACTTTAGGATTTATCATAAAAATATTAATATATTACTTTATGTAACGCTTATTAGGATAACACTTATTATTATAATATTTATTTTTATAATATTTAATAGACATATTTGGGCTTAGAATCTGTAGAAAAGGGTATTAACTTAATTTAAATTTCTATTACATATACTAACCCGATTGAATTTCTGTTACATATGCTAATTATATTTAGAAGAAAATACTTTTATCTTTAAGTCCTTATAGCTCCACAGAATAATTAATTAAAAAAATAAAAGCTATATTATTATATTCCTTATAAAAAGCTCTATCAAATAATACTACTTACAACTTGATCAGACATCATTTGACCGTTGTCCCGTTGTGAAGATTTCCCTACTAGAAACCCTAATAATTTAAATCTAGAAATAATTTAATAAAATATAATAAGACTCTTTCTTTCTCTGCTTAATAAGGAAAATATTATTTCAAAATATTAAAATATATATAAAATTCTTTTAAATTTTAGCTATATTACTGGTAAGCCTGTTCTAGTTAAGCTATAATATTTTAAATTAATATAAGAATCTAGTCTTTGAACTAAAATTATAATTTTTTAAAAAATTATTTTTTTTTTTAGATTTTTATTATTTATAAAATAGTACTATCTTTGTCTGTATAATAAGTCTATATAATTAATAGCAGCAAGAATCTTATATTTTTTTAATAAATATTTCTTAGAAACACCTCTGAACATATATTTTAAATTAGTAATTTATTCCTGATACTTTTAGAGATTAAAGTTCAGAATAAAGTAAGAAATATCTCTAAATTTAATTTTTTTTTATTCTTATCTAATTTAGAGAATCAGTAGTATTTTAAAAATATTTTATTTAAAAAACTATTTTTTTAAAAATAAATTATTTTTTATTATAAATTAATAATCTATTTTAATTAATAAATATGATCTTCTAACTGTTGAATCTTTTTAACAATAGAGATAATATTTAATAATAATTCTAGATTAATTTAATTATTAAATATCTTTATTTCTCTATTATTTTTAATGGGTGGCATCTTCCTTAGATAATTAAAAAAAAAGAATTAAAATATAATAAGATTTACTTATTAAAATAAAAAGCCTGTTAACTAGATAAGAAATCAGCTACTAAATACTATATAATTATTTAATAACAGAGATAGTCTATATCTATAAAATAAACTAATTCTTAAAGAATTAATAATTTATTATAGAAGGATTAGTACCTTATAAGTACTAGAGAAATATAAAACTATTATTAATAATTTTATAACTCTTATAATTACTATAATATATTATCCTGATGACTTTTATCCTGATAGCTAGGTTATTCTATCACAAATCTCTTATTTTATTTTACTAGAGTATCTAGATAACTACTAATATAATTTATTCTTTTATTATAATTTATATTTTTACTTATTTATTTTACTTGTTATTTATTTATTTTATTACTTGACTAGTAATATCATACTTTAATATTAAATAAAGAGTATATATGATTTGAGCTTTCTAGATTATAAAATATATAAGATTTTTAGAATTTATTATATAAATATTAATATATTACTTTGTATAATATTTATTGGGATAATACTTATTATTATAATATTTATTTTTATAATACTTAATAGACTTAATTAGGTTTAGAGTCTGTAAAAAAGGGCACTAATCTGATTTAAATTTCTGTTATATATGTTAACCTGATTAAATTTCCTGTGATAGAATAACCTAGCTATCGGGATAAAAGTCATCGGGATGACGTATTATAGTGGTTGTGAGAGTCGTGAGGTTATCGATAGTGGTTCTATACCTCTCCGGCATCTATAAGGTACTGATTCCTCTGTAATGAGCTACTGATCCCTCAAGGATCAGTCTATTTCGTGGATATAGGCTACCTTTGTCATTATCAAACAAATATATGATGTTTAGTGGTTGATTCCTTACCTAGTCGACAGGCTTTCTACCCTGACAAGTAGATCCTATCACATTTCCGTTACATGTGCTAATTATATTTAAAAGAGAATATTTCTATTTTTAAATATTTATAATACTATAGAATAATTAATTTAAAGAAATAAAAAATTATATTATTATATTTCTTGTAAAGGGCTCTATTGAATGATACTACTTATAACCTGATCTAACTTCATTTGACCGTTGTCCCGTTGTGAGGATTTCCCTACTAGAATGCCTGCAAGATGCCAGGCAGTGATCAACGCGGAAGATAGCCATATAAAGTATTAATAATCATTAATAATCATGATTAGAAATAGCAGAATTGGAAGGATTCAACCCCCTGCACCTCCCCACCATACTAACAAAATTACCGGGGTCAACCGGAGTATAAGATATCCCCTTGCTTGTGGGTCAATGCAACAGCTGATAGCTCAATTTATGCGGATCCATGATAAATGAAGTATTTGGTAAGTAAGAGGCGTCACAGATAATGGCTATCTTAACAGCGTTGGAGTGGTCTTCTAGGAAGCTTATTTGGCTAGGCAATCTTCGAGACGGAACAGTGTTGTGGTGAACGGAGCCGTTTTTTAAACCAAGAAATAGGATTAGCTCCAATATAAGTAGATAGTCCCTTGGGAATGCTCTGCGTGAAGAACACCATGGCACGCAGCGTTTGGTGTCCTCTTCAGGAGGGATACCGTTTGGACTGCCTCATGCGATGGTACATCACAAAGGTACGTCGCAGGAAAATAACCAGGTATGGAATCAAACTATCAAACCAGAGAAAGACCTGTAGGAAGTGCAACCTGATATCGTATGATGGACTGCTTTACTACTGAGGAACATGGGGAAACTGGCATCTTGAAGACTATCTTATCGAAGACCTCTCACGTCCAACTCTGCCTGGGCCGTTTTCGGGGTCCCGTTGGGTCTCGCTTTGCCGTCTATCACAGAGGCGTGAGCGTAGCAAGGAAGAAAGCGCGACACGACTCTGTTGAGACTCGCGATTGTTTCCCCTATCGTTAGGGCCTGACGCCTTATTCTCAGAAGATTCTGAACGCGAGGTGGAGGGTGAAAAACATTTCCATATCTTCTTGACGATTTCTGGTAGTCCAAAGCACATCCAGAAGAGGGGGATTAGGAGAATAAGGGTGGTCACCATGGTAATCACTAGCGCAGTAACCATTAGCATGGCTTCTCGTCAGTTCATAGATTGACAGGATGGCGGGATACCTTCAACCTCGAAGACCCAGCCGGGATTATATTTGTCGCCATTTTCGAAGCCTCGAATGGGAAGAGCTAGTAGCTGTCCAATAAAAGACAAGGGAAGCTAATCACATTAGAATCATTAAATCCGAACCAAATGTACCCGGAACTGATTACGCGGTGCCGGACATACAAAACAGACTGTGATAGTCGTGAAGACGAATATAACGCGAGACTGCCTCGATTCCTCTTGCGCCTCGTCGATCATAGATTCCCTCTGCCAGATGTCAAGAAGGGTAATTAGCTGGGCGCAATGTCAGTTAGAGCATGGCTATATTAGCAAGTGACGAACCGAGTCTCGAACGCTGCGCGCGTTCTGTTCCAGCCTTGTAAATCGTTCCAGTGGATAGTGGACGTAGTTATCCGATACATTCACCCTGGGTCTCCATTGTTGGATACTGTTCATCGCAGCCGCCTGGTCGTTTAACGCTCTCTTGATGATGCCGATCTCATCCATAACGTCGCTGATTTTCTTTAGTAGGCCGGCGCCTTTCTGAACTTCAAGCTGGATGTGCTTGTTTGATGAGCGCACGGACTTCTCAAATCTCTCGTAGCATTTGCTGACTTCGTTGGACTGTATTACGTTAGTAATGGTTTGGTTGGACCTTATTGACCAGTACATACCACATCTGCAATCGCATGATCAAATGCGTCGAAGGTTGTGTAACCCTTGCCTTCGGACACATACCATGAGTCTTCAATGTACTTAATGCAACTACACGCTATCTTGAAAATAAGATCGTCTACCGTTGCAGCGGACTGAATTTCGCTTCGGACTTTATCAAACATGGACTGGCCGTACCGTGAATCCCATCTTTCTGGGAATGCTGAAATGATTGTACCTGGGAAAGATGTCAGCATATTCTGGTATGAAGCAACAACGATTGAACGCAACAAACAGTGGTCAATTTTCCAAAGCCAGAGCTGGGAAACCATCAGCATTTGTAGGCGGATCGGATCATCCTCCAAGTCAGTCCTGGCTGAAGGCATTCCTGGTTCTGAGTTTTGCATCAGTTGGCATCGCGAACCTTCCACCACGCCTTCATTGCCTTCGGGTATCACGATTTCTGAGGGCGTCGAACCCTGTCTGATGTTGCATGGCTTTAGTCCCGATGTTGATGCACCCGATTCCGCAATGGCCTTCCGGCCGATCAGAAACGCTGTGAGAACTTGGTTTTGGTCTCGGCTTTTCAAATCATCAGGCTCCAGGAAGTCATAGTTTGACTCGTCCAGTGTACGGGGGAAGTGTGGCTTGCAGTCTTTGTAGCTGCTCCCCAAGTCTTTCATTGCGTGGATATGTTTTCGGTGATTATCACAACCATCTTTGGGGCCTCCAACCTCCTCATCTTCCAAGCGTTTCTTCTCATCAACGCTATAGTCCACATCAACCAAGGGGAGCTATGTCGTCAGCATACTGAATTCCATTTGCTGAGACGATGTGCTGACTTACAACTAAAGAAGCTCTTTGGCCTATCTGGTTCTCTGCGGGGTCGATGAGCTCACTGACAACTGATGAGGCTCGGCGGAGTTTCTGTTTTTCTCGGCTACAATTTTCGAACTTTTTGTCCAAGTGTTATTCCCCAAATATGTTATGGCTGCGCAACGTTTCACATTGCGGAGAGGGTCTTACCACGAATCCAGGCTGCCTATGGCGTGCGACCAGCCCGGTCTCGTTGAAAGTTTCGAGGATAAACCGCTTTATATCGGCGCTGTCAGACATACTCGTGCCGCTTGGGTTCATCTGTGAATCGGATTTACGAATAGCGTCGATTAAGTGCTAAATCGAGGTTAAACTTCCACTCGAGCTTTTCACGTGCCTGGGACCCTTACATCTACCCACAGCCTCTAATCAAATGTTAGCAGTCCCGAGCAGTGATGCGGGGAATAACGTACGATCGTGTATGGCAGGTGAAACCACCTGAAACCACCACTAGACATATCCAGGGACGCTTTCCCAAGGGCATCGCCGTATAACATATCATAAACTGTAGGCAAGTATGTCCTGGTCAGCGGGCGCGTCACTTGCCATGGTGTCAGATCTTCCATAGCCCCCTCTGCTAGCTGATAGGAATCGAGATGCGATTCATGAGGATCGTCATGCACGGATTCTTTGGATGTTTCATTGGAGGTTGTCTGCATCCCAAGATACCAGATTGAGCTTCGGAGTTTTTTGCAAACTTCCCTACGTTCCGCATGCGGTTCAAAAGGTCGAGCGGGTTGATAGACAAACAAGGGTCTCGGCTTGGGCATGGTCCTTGGCGATTTAACCAAACTATGAATTCTATCCCACCTTCCGGACGCTGCAATTGTTTCTGGCGTCATTCCGAAACGATTAACGGCGGTTGGATTTGCCCCAGCGTTATAAAAACATTCAGCTAACTTTTTGTCCCTGTTGTTAGCGGCGTTATGAAGGGGGGTATTCCCCTCCCAGTCTTTGGCGTTGGGATCTCCTCCAGCTTCAAGGAGACGAGTGACGATTTGCAACTCGCCTTTGTGTACCATGTGGAGAGGGGTCCTGTCATGGTTGTCTCTAGCGTTGGGGTCTGCTCCAGCCGCTAGAAGCTTGAAAATCACTTCCCCAGCATCTTTAGAGGTGCGAAACTCCTGAAAGAAATTCAGCACTAGGTGTATTGGTGCACCGAATGTCGGGACTATTGCATTGACTTCCGCACCGGCGTCAATGAGAGTAATGGCATTTTGTGCTGCTCCAATAGACAAGGCCAGATGGAGGGGTGGTCTCTGCCTTCCATCCCTCAAATTAACATCGGCGCCGACGCGGACCAGAGCTGCAACGATCATAGGTGCATTTTCAGCTCTCGAGTTAGCGGCGCTATGAAGCGCCGTCTTGCCTTCGTGGTCTCTGCTGTTCACGTCTGGCCTGAGAGAGAGAAGGAGGTTGAGAATAGATAAAGAGTCTTTCTCAGCTGCTTTATGTAGGAGATAGTGTTCTTCCACTAGTTCACGGCGGTCGACACCAAGGCGTGCCAGGGTAAGAAAGGCTTCCCGAAAGCTGTCTTCATTTCCATGGCAGATATCATCCTTCATCCCATCAAGAATGGTCAGAGGATCGTCCATGTGCTTACGCGTGTTAACAAGTTTTCTGTCCATCGTGGGATGTAATATTGAGGTGGACTGAAAGTCAAAGCTAAGACACTATCGACGACAGGCTTCCGAAACTCAGCGATGATCTGATGATATACCTTGGACAGACGGCTATCTTAACGTACAAGGCCTGTATCAGCCCATACCTAGGGACCATGGGTCCTGAAACTAAGAGATACAAACCCGGTGAGGTTGATGGCCATGCAGTACGAGACTTTATCCGTGGATCGAAATAACACGCCAGAGATGGACACGAGAAAACAACAAGATCGGAACAAGCAAGCGTTACCGTTCACGCCTGGCAATCAATAATCCGGGTCATGTCCACATGACACCGCCTGGCTCTGATAGAATAGCACACTGACTGGTTCAAACACGGGTCGTAGTGGTGAGACCCTTGGCTCACGAAGATTTCAGCAACACTCCATCAACAACTCTTGATCGATTTATAACACACCGAACCCAACGACCATTTTCCCGGCTCCCGACCAACTCCACTTATCTTGATCACATTTTGAAACACTCAATACATCCACGCAGCTACTATGAGTTCGAGATCTCAAATTCGGCTGGACGCCACTGTTGCTGACTGTGGCCTTGTGGCTGAGCTTGCGCTGAACGTCTATCGCTCATGTAAAATGTCCGCGGCGGATTTTCAGAGCATGTCGGATGATATGTCCACTCTTTATATGACTCTCAGGGACATACGGGAAGACCTCAGCCAGGACGCTTCAGGCTTGAGCCACACCGGCATGGACTCTCTAAGAGAGAAGCTGAACACTGTACACGGAGCTCTCCGGTGCATTGATGAGGAGCTGAAAAACTACGAGAGAATGACATTTAGCTCCCGCCTGAGATGGGCGTATCTCAAAGATGTGTTGCCGAACACTGGCGAGGCCCATACTCGGATCGTCGGCACAACAACCGCATTGCGCCTTCTGGAAAAGAAGATGTCTATGTAAGTGAAAAACAAATAAGTCTGGAATCGAGAATTCAGAAGAGATAATGACGAGTGTTTGTTGCAGGACCTGCGATAAAGCTCTCGAGAAACAGATAGTGAAATATCTACGAGAAGTCCGGGATGGACTACACGAGGATTCGGTGATGAATCTGGTTCCAACGGACATGCCCTCGAAGCATCAGCGATGGCAAGATTTCAAGGAGGAGCTTCAAAGATATGTGGGTATACCACCCACAGTGGTCGATGACCACTGGGATTTCATCCATGCTGTTGTCCGTCGCGCGCAGAAAACTGGTGATTATGACATCGAGCTCCCCGAACCCTCCCAGGACGAGCGTGCGTTGATGAAGCAGATCGAAGAAAGCTTGGTGCGCAGGTCTAAGGATATGGATAAAAACATGAACGAGCTGCGTCAGAGAGCCCCTCATATCGACAGCAAGAAGACTTCACCAATCGTCACCATCGGCCTTCGTGCGTTACGTATTGTCTCAGATGAACGCCTAATCGTGGCGGCGGACGAAGGAGACTTGAAACGTGTCAAGACTCTGATTAATCGCCGCGCGAATGTCAATGCTTCTGACAGATGGCGCTGGACGGCGCTGCACATGGCGGCCTATGGTGGATACAATGAGATTGCCAAAGAGCTAATCGCAGCCGGGGCAGACCTCACAGCTAGGACTGTGGATGGGGAGACTCCACTCAGGTTGGCAGAAACAAACAGACATGTGGATGTAGCCGCTACCATTCAAAACAGAGTAGATGAGTTACATGACCAGGCAGGCCGTCAAAAGCCTCACTAAAGCAATGGGCAGCCAGTTTGTATGTACCAATCAAATGTCTAAGTCTATTGTAGCTTTTAGTGGTTACGTCAAAGATCTTTAGAGAAAGTCGTCCGTTATTGTATTCTATGAGGATATCCTTACTAACACATGTCTTGGCAATTGTAGGTATTCTGATACAGAAAATATGACCCAAATTATGTTGATCATATGGAATCAATTCTGCGCGGTTATGGCTTGCGCTTGGATCGCCCGGGAGGCTCTGCAACCTAGACCATAAGTCATGATATACTTGAAATGGATTTCACATGTGGATTTCTAAGTAGCCGCTGCTCCAATTCATCGGACCGAATCCCTTAGACATCATTGCGCTTAATGATTTACTAGTCCGTTCCATGGGATACATTTTCTAAATAAACACCACCTAGAAGATCACACTGTTCCTCAAATAGTGACGCCGTCAGAATTAACTTTCACCGCGAGGCTTGACCACGGTATTAAGGAGCCCCATACGAACCGAGATTACTCGACGCAGATATACGTTCCATTTCCGTGGGCTTAAGTCCCTATTTGAAGGGACAGCTCAGTCCCGTGTTATAATAAATTAGCACGGCGTCATGATTAGATCATATGTATCACCCTGAGATCTTTCCAGACTGTAGACAATATAACAGTGTCTGGACAACTGACTACGTTATGTTTTACGTTCGGGTCGCAAATCTTGGTAGCGCAAATATCATCCTGCGTCCTTCATGATGGAATAAAGTTTTAATATAGTTTTGAGTTTGGAATCAATCCAGTACCATCCAGATCGCTCTACAATAAGGCTGGTCTGAGGATAATAGGTAGGATAATATTATGATAATTGAGTTGATTAAGTATTACTATGAGGCCAGGGGTAAGGCCGTTATTTATGTTAGTGGGTGGAGCCACTAGCAGTCAGATTTTATTTAGAGTGATGATGTAGTCGAGTAGTGAATAGCCGGGCCTGATCCGTTTCGGTGACGGATAGACCACAAATAGCCAGGTCTGCCGAGTGGAGTGAAATAAAGTACCTAAAATTCCATGCAACTTGCGGACAGATCAAGAAACTCTAATTCTGAAGGTTCGCAGACCTTCTGACCTCGTACCCATAAACCCCATCACGTCTCCAGACCGTACCGAACTCAGAATCAACTAATGGCCCAGACTTCCACTGATGAGGTGGAAAAGTCGGCCGGACTTACAATCCATCTACGAGCACTAGTGAGAGAGTATCTTACTGCGCCGCTCTTTATGGTTGACATGGGAACTGGCTCACGGTGGGTAAATGGCCGATTATTTATTATAGTAGAATTTAGTTCTATATTGGCAATAGATAGGACATTCTTTTACAATTTAATATTTGGCTTGAGGACTTCTACTAGTTCTAGAATGAGCTGGACTTCGTAGTCAGGCATCTTGTTTTATAGTAGGTTTCCTGATTGGTGGAAAAGCTTATTGTGAAGTAGCTTTGTGGGATGATTTAGATTAGATAAAGCGGTGATTGCAAACAGGGTATAGGAGCGCTGGTAATAATAGAGACAGGTAAAGTACTGGATTTATATATGAAGCTGAAGTGTGGCGAATGACCAGTTTAAAGTGTAATAGGAGAATATCTGTATTGTTGGCTGTAGTTACTAATTTACTGGGCGCAGAACCAGTGTATGCCTTGAGTTCACTAGCCAATCATTCACTTTCTTTTAGGAAGGTAAAGGGATAATATGCCATGGCTAATATGCAGTAGGCGCGTTAGCAATCGTTCATTAGCCCCAGAAATAGCCTTCAAGTCTCGACCCGGGCCGCTGACAGCCGTAAAGAGGGTATACGCGCACAAGTCTCAGAAAAGCTTTTCTACCTACTATGGCTGACGCGAACGGAAGTACCCAGAGTACCAGAGTAGGTGTGATAGGGTAACTGCTCCGGCAGCGTGACAATGGTATGGCGGGTGATCAAGGTGTGTCTCAAAATATTGCCTTCTGCATGGCGGTCCCAAAGTAGAACACGAGCATCGCTGCACCAATGTGTATGTGAATCCTGGCGATACCAGATACTATTCATCAGTACTGTCACATAATACTAGCCTGGGTGAATCCCATGCTAAGTCGAGACTAGCGCCGTAAAGCTTAAATTAGCGGGATGGATCTGGACCCCGCTCACCGCGCCGGATCCGAGAGTTGCATCTCGCCCGGTCGACATAGTGGCCTCGGGTCCTGCAAAATTTATTTGTCGCTAGGCTGGTCGGTCTGGACAAGTCTATACCACATGTTCTGCCCCGGGATTGAGATGAATACGAAGGCCAAGAAACATTCTCTGACGGAGATGCTGATTGTACGACATGCTTGAGAGCGTTTTCTTTAGCGACTTTGCCAATTGATATTTTCTCCTGTTCAAATATCCATCGATGCCTAGTACTCCAGCGGAAAGATAAATAGGAGCGCATGTAAGTCAAAAGCAGTTCTAATGACTCAGTACTACTAGTAGTAATGTGTATACTTGCTAGTAGCTGCTTAACATATCTGACTAGTACTGCATTCTAGTACTTCGTCTAATAATTTCTTGACTTGAACAACATGCCTGTTCCCCACTACGGCGTCTGGGTTTGTAAGGCAGTCGACATTTATGCCGAACCACCTAACGTGCGCACGTCACACATTTATCTTCAATTCATCGACGACTCTTCGGGAACGCGAGAGGCTGCTATTAACGTCGAGTCCAGCGGTCGAGAGTCTCGTCTGGTGTACAAGTTGTCAAATGACTTGCCTTCTGCAGTCACCGACAAACTTAAGGACCTCAAGCCAGGCTTTTACCTACTTCAGGATTTTGACACGGATGGGAACCTAGATAGGCATCGCCATCATCACTTACACTATAGACACCAGAGGCTGCGCCACCTCGATCTACAGGGTCTCGACTATCAGCGTACTGAGGGTCTGGGGTGAACATTCTGGAAGGCGAGGTCTTGGAGTATGATAAGGAAGGGCCCAACAATGACCTAAGAGAGAAGCTAGTTCCCCTCCTCGAGAAGGCCAAGAAAGAGAAAGAGACCACGACTGTCTATATATTTGGCTCGTCTTACGGATCGGGAATCCATAACATTCATATGAACCAAGGCAGTCATCCGAAGTATGACAATGGTATCTACTCAGATGGGGCCCTACTGTTCAAGTTCGGGGACGACGGGAAAGGAGTGTTTCTGGCCTTTGCTTCACAGATGCTACCGACTGATTATGATGGATTAGCAGAGCCAGATAGTGAAAGCTTGCTGCAGTCAATTATGGGCACATGAGAAATCATAATATCCGGGAGTTGATGGTAAAGGCATGCAGTTATCCTGCAACAGATTGGCCTATGCTGGCACAAATTGTGACTTAACTTATCCTTAGCTGTAATAGTTGTTTTGAACATTCCCTTTCATTTTTGAATCTTATTCTCAATTTCCCCATCAAAATGCTAACTTAATGTCTTACATATACTAGAGTAAACATCTCCAATTACTGAAACGCCCTTGTCTGATACACAGGGGTAGTAACACCTGGTGACCCCCAAAAGAACAGTGTTCTTCGCTTTCCCCCCTTCAATTCCTGCCTCTGGTTCTGTCTGCGTAGTTCTTGTTCACGAGCACGCATCTGTTTGCTTCGCTTCCGACTTCGACGCTGTTGGTATCTCGAGTCGACGGCAGTGTTGTTGGTGCCGAAGAGTTTGCGGAGCCAGTCCAGCATGGTAGCGTCTTTAGAATACTCTTGAATATTCGTCTTCCTGATTGGCCACCGAAAAAAGCCCGCGTAGGTAGTAAAGTAAAAGCAATGCCGATTACACTGATAATATAGCATAAGTTAAAAAAGAACATTGTCTCTAGTGGATGGGCTGTGTTTATCCTCACGTTCAAGTTAGATGGGAGGACTTACAGTGGCCGACTTGTTGTATGAAGAATGTAGTAAATAGGAGCTTTTCTGATGTTAGCTTATGTGGGTATTCCGTGAATTTATTATGTTATGAACTAGAATTCAGGGCAGGTGACTGGTGGGGCGTAGTCTCACTTGATTTGCAATCATGTGACACCCCTCCTCTGTGGAACAAGATACTTCAATATTCAGAGGTGCCCGGGTGCCCGAAGGCTCAGCCAAAAAAAAAATGAGTAACCAATATCATTTCCTCACTAGTTATTTAACTAAGTAGTAGGGAAGGCAGTACGGGATGGCGGGACGGCTTGGGAATCTTGGTAATTTCTTCTTCGTTCCATCAACTTTGTAAATTTGTCCTGGTGACGGCAGGGATCAGCAGAATCACCTGACTTATTGATGACCAAAACCCATTCAGAAATAATACTACTGACTACTGCCAACCTTAGTGTCCCTGAACTTGCGTCAAAACTGCATGCATTTTCGGATACGGCCACTTGGGAGTGATCCAGAAAAAGAACCCCAGAACCCAAATATATCCCACCGCCACGGTGATCTTGTTTGAGAGTATTAACGAAATATCAATTTCGTCACCCCCATTATATCTCTTCACGCACCTCAACCTGCGCACTACAAGCACCTCCAAAGCACTAGCCATGAAATTGGCTACGAAGAAGAGCATATCGTGGTGCGGATGACATGGCTCGCCCGACTGCCAGTCGGCAATCGCATGGCACAATCCGGAGAGCAAGAACGTCCAGAAGGCCAGGAGACTTTCTCGCTTCGGCATCCAGGTGTAATGCCGATGAGATGGCGGGTGACCTGTGTTCCAGAGGAAGCGCAGGAGGAGAATGTGAGGCCATGCCAGAACTTCGTCCAGAAGCGGCTGATGCTGTATGCTTCAAGGGGGCTGCCAAAGAGTGGTTGCCATTCATTGGGATCGTCGAGGCGGAGTATGACAGTGAAAAGGATAGAGAGAAGAGTGTTGCAGAGATCGAGCATGAGGTAAGCAATCCAGATCCAGTAGACGGAGAGAAATAGGCGGATTTCTACCTCGCGGAAGGTAATAGGGGGATGATTATATGGATGAGGTAGAAGTCGGCGGAAGAAGACCTTACGGGAGGGGGCGAAGTCTTGAGCGGTAAAATTGAAATGCAAGGGAACAAGTGGTCCGATAATAATAAACTGAAAAGCCCAGCAGAGGATTATTCTGGTGATTTTGTAGAATGTGAAACTTGCTCGACCGGGAAATGTAATGGCGCGCTTGTTTCGTGGTGGGAGCCCAGGGCTCATGCGACGTTGCGGATCGTTCCAGAATTTGTATGTCGCGAGCCACGAGGATGATGTCCGGGGCACCCTCAGTTGGTCAAAATAGAGGACTGCTGCTGCATGTTGGATCCAGATGCAGGTGAAGAGTGCCCACAGCACATTCATACCAGTGAGCCATGTCAGGTAAGGGCTCGTATGCAGTGAGATGATTGCGCTACCGTATAGCAGTGGCGAGACATACAGTCGACCTCTGTAGGGGAGGTGGATGGCAACCCAGAATGATGCGCTTGAGAAAGCGAAAAATGCTGGGGGTATAAGGGACATCAAAAGCATCATGGGATGCTTGGAGAGGTGATCGGAAAGACGCAGGTGGAAGAGATCAACCGGTAGAATGTAGACGGAAGACTTTAATTTCTCAGTCCACTAAGTTGATTTTCGTACCTAACTATAAATTACCTGTTAAAAAGACACGTACCTCCCCCAACCAAGGCCTGTGGTGCGACATAATGCGACAAATCGCCAATCCCTGACGCGTCACTCTCAAATGGTCATTTCTAGGGATGAATATAGTGTTGGGACAAGTTTTTAATACCCTGATTCTTCGCTTTGCCAGGTACCCTGGCGTTAGCGCACTTGGCTATGGCCTGATGCCGTAGTTCAGCTGCATATTAATTACCACCATGTCATGAAGTCAGTGAAAACAAAAGAGAAATATATCATCTATGAGTCGTGTTTCACATCTCCCTCATAGGGTTCTTAATGATAAAATATGCTATTGCGACCCCCAACTCGTACACCACAGAAGAAGGAAAATGTGGAAGCATTTATGGCTCGATCACTGTGCAGAGAATTGCCCCACCCATCTACCGGGTACTCCTGATTGTTGCATGCAAGGCAAGGTAGCAGGTATCTGAGGTACCAGCAAGCATTCCGGTTCCATAGGCCCGAACAGAATCCATTTGATTAGAGATATGGCAAGTGAACTATAGCCAGGTTATCCAAGAACTCGGGCCCACGCCAAGGCTAATGCGCGAACAAAGAAAGTTAGTATCAGGCACTCTTAGTCCAAGCACGAGCTCAAGAATATCATTTGGTGCGCGGAGACTGGTTCCAAGATATTTTTCCCGCTTCTTCAAAAAGCCGCCGACAGTAAGCTGATTGGGACAATCAGTCTGGTGGAGGGGCCGACGCACAGGCCTGCGAATAGACATTACCTAGGGGCTCAACCAGGGGGAAATCGGTGGTAGTTTGGAGCATCAAAGCTTAGAACCCCGACTGCAGCGGTTCATACCAGTACGCTTGAGGAGTACTTCCACACCAACCATCTGTTCCACGCATGTAGCAACGAGGCAGCCAATATGATACAGATTTCGCTGCATTCTCTGCTTCTCCACAGTAGACTGTTAGAGCACTCCATCTTTACATGGCAAGCACCCGCCTAAGTCTCACGTATGGCAAGGGAGGGAAAACGCAAACACAACCTGCTAAGCGTGCTGGGCTAATTTCGGGTATGAATATGAAACGGGCCGTGGGGCTAAGAGACTCAGTCAGAATGAACTCAATAAAGATAATGACGAGAGACGCTGGAAGAGGACCGCGGCATACTAGGGAGCGGGTGGTGGGGCACCCCGCTTTTACGGCACTAGTGTTCACAGCCTTGTCAAGGAAGAGATTCCATTGAGTCCAGGAGCTTTGCGCAAGAAAGAAGCCTTGGTGAAGGGGGTGAGTGTGATGGATGTGTCTTAACATCTAACTCGCAATGTTCAATATCAAGGGACCAACATCCTATATGTGCCATATAATATGCCGACAGGAAAGCCACAGACAATAGGAAATTAAAGTAGTCGAGATTGGGTATAAAGTCCCACTACGTAGGAATTTAAGGATAGAGACTGGACTATAAGAATTTGTAGGTATAGTTATTGGAATGTTATTTCAGAGTGCAACGTCGACGATTGACTTCCCTTGGGATAGTGTTTAAAAGTGTCTACATATTCCGAATTGCGGCATTTTTTTCATTCGTCCATTTATGAGTTCTGGCTGTCACCTGACAGTAGATTTGCAGAGCTGCTGTATGCAATAATGTGATCGCTCAAACCTTTCCTGCCGCTAAAGCATGATTGTAGTTACGTTTTATTCGGTGGAATGGATATTCCTAAATCATATGATCAAATTGAATTGGTCGGGGCAGAATTGACAATATCCATTGGCAAATTCACAGTACTGGTCCCATCTCCTTCATTGCTGGGCTGTCTTAATTCTCATCCGTGGCAGGTCTGGCATGGGTAAGAGCATTTCCGACTTTCTGCATCTCTCTCGTAGCCTTTTGGGGCGATGAAACATAAACACTGTATCTAGTGAATGAGTATTTACTGTCTTCATTCGAGATCATGTTGGACTTGGTTGACTGTAACGTTTTCTATTATCGAGTCGATCAATGACTGCAATATACATATTTACTCGAAGCTGCAAGAAGTGCTGTCTGTACACCTATAATATTCAAACATCACATTTGTGTGGTCAAAGTATTACTTCGAACGCAAGTAGGACGTTCAGCTGTTGGTTCTACCCAACAACGGGTACGAGAGAGAATCCTAGATGCTATTCTGGAATATAGGCGTTTAGGAAGCACTAATGATGGCCGGCTGTACATTTACCAGCTCTGTCTATTGTATCCGATGACGAAGAACCTATCATAACCCCAATAAACTATATACGTCACTGGCGATCACTGGGTCTTGCCTTTCTCAGTCTGTAGGGTATAGCTTCATCTGTTGTGAGTCTTAGAAGAATACGACGATGGCATGCTGCTGTACTTAAGCAAGGTGGCCAGGAGCACGCCAATAATCGAGGCCTATGGGCACGCTGTTAGGGTCATCATATGGAAGTATTTATAGAATGAGCCTACCAACGACAGGTCGAAGCCTTCTGCAACTGTCAGCTCCCATTCGGGGCGTTTTCCCGGTAGATATACCGAGAGCATGTCCTTAAGCTCTGCTATCATCACCAGTACCCCGTTGTTATAGACATGCGTGTTTACTTTCCATATATCCTGTCCGCGGACTTCCAAGACAGTGTCCTCGCTGGCTGCAGCGGCGTTCTTAATGTGGACGTCGAACTTGTCCTTGAAAACACTCCATTTTGTCGCGATGGTGGCAGTAGGCTCAGCATCGTGGTTTTCACCAGGTAGGTGGACAAACCATGTCACGCCAGACTTTTTACGATGGAGTTCAAAAAGGGGCAGGCCAGATAAATCAAGAAAATACCGTCGCTGACTCAATAATCCAAAGTCACCGTCGACGGAGAATAGTTTAATTGGGAAACCAGCTTCACTTTAACAGGTCGAGATGGTGAAGTCGCCCCCGGAACAGCTCTTACTGTATTGCTTGATCCTGATGGTAGTGAGACGGGACGCAATATATTCCGGCCGAATGCCGATCGGCTTTTTGAGGGTGGTTGGTGTTGACACCATCGGGTTTGACCGGGTCTGGGAAGGAGGTAATGGATCGGTTGGGGTTCAGTAGAAGGGTTCGCTGGGGGGGACTAAACACATAAACCCCATTGTGATGGGTAGAGGAGTGTCATCTTATCTAGCTTCAAAATGGCCTTATTACCCAGGCTCCAACAGAGCAAAGGACGGGAAACTGGGGATATTGGTATTATACGACAGGGATTATGGTGTGCCCAGGCAACTGAACCGACGTTGGTAGACAAACAGTGAGCCGCGCCAAGAACGGAGACCTTCTCATGACTTGTCACGGGATGTGATATTTACATTGGGTTCTGTCCATCTACCTGGATCTACTATGGACACAATACATTACCACGCCGGCTTGGCATGCGGGAACATTAGTTGAACACTTTCAGATCTTGGGCCCCTTGATAGTAGCGCACGCCGATGGCCATAGCGCGATATAGCTAGGAATCTAAAAAGCCTAATTAGTCCAGATATACTGACCCCTGGATTCTCCACAAATAGCACTTTCCTGGCAATCAAACAATTATTGAGCTTGTAGCCGATACAATAGCCTGCCTCGCTCTACCTTCCTGAAATTTCACATCCAAGTTAAGATAGTGAGAGTGGGAACAAAGAGAGTATTAATACCCAGTAAACAAGTGCCTATGACGCCACGCCAATAACAATCAACGTAACCGTGACTATGCACAGGATAAGTAGGGTTTTCTTAAGCCACAGACTCATCCACCCAACATAAGAAATATAGCCATACACCAAGCCCACTATATCCTCGCGGTAGACAAACTGCTGGCCTTCTGGATAAATCCCCGTATCATCAACAGCATTATTATCACCTTTAGTCAAGATAAGTTACCTGGTTTTCATAAATATGCCTTGGATCTTCACAGACAAAAAGGGGGAGCGGAGGACATACTCTGATTACAAAACCCCATCTACTTCTCGTTCAATGACCCGAATCGCTCGGTGTACCATTGGTAGTGGACGAGCATCGAACCACACAATTGGAATATCACCGGTATATACCCTGTGCTGCTGATTCCAAAGAAATATGAGATCTCCTCAGTGGAGGCTTGGCTCCATTGATTCTGACAAGACCACCATGAGGGGATATGCAGTGCCGGCAATAACACATACAATCTTCCAGGCCACGAGAGAGACACCTAATGTCTTAAGGATTGGTAGTGCTTTGGAGTAGATGCATCTTAGCTTCATATCTGAAGTCACTTGGTGAAGCCGTAGTTGGCAATAGTGTAGAATGTGGTAGACCCGAGAGGACATAATGGAGATTCGGGGGAAAGCCGACGCTGCAAACTGGATGCCAGAGCACTTTTTAGCTATAGCGGCTCTCCTCTCTTGCTCTTGAAAGATTGTGTGACCTAATCGCTTGGCGTCAAGAGGATGGATATACCAACCTGGTAAATCCAGGCTCAGTCATTCCTAGGATAATCAACCGCCCCAACGCCTAGCTGGGAGCAAAACGTGGTTGGTCTGTTCAACATCAGCTACCCCCAAACACCCATGATATGGTTGCAGCCAACGCATTTGGGGTCACTTCGGTGTGATCCCACTCAGTATTGGTCCAATATGTGGAATAAGTAGGTCCGCTCTCATTATCTTCCCTGTCGGTTGTGGCCTCTTTTCTTGATTGTAACATCACCAGACATTAACCTCTAATTCTTGATAGGCCGACCAAGAGAATCATTGACACAAGGGCGAGGACCGTCCCCTCGAAGCTGTTAGAAGGATGCATGTTAGCGTGCAGGGATTTGACTCCCGTCTCCAGAAAATGACGCATCTCTTCATCCAAGTCTAGTGATGTGGTGCACAACAAAATTATAAAAGGTCCTCAATACCCAACTCTCTGACATCCAGAGAAACCAAACCAATCCTCTCCTTGAATCAGCTGCTGCAATTTCTACCCTATTTTCCCCACCTTCCCTTTCACTTCCATAACCTAGCAACCATAACATGTACAACAAGTTCGTAGTCGCCGGCATATCCGTTGCCGCCATTTCTCTTCTTCCTTCCTGTCCCGCACCTCCCATCGCTTCTCTCATTATCACCGGCCTAGCTGCTCCTCTTGCAGGTAATCTGCTCATGATTGGTCTCAACGGCAACGTCAAGCGTGCTGAGGTCAACGGCGAGGCTCGATTCAAGCGCCAGTCCTGGCCAGGTGTCCCTGACTACAACATCCAAATGTGCCATGACGCCAACATTGGCAGAAGCGTGACTGTCACTCAGACCTCCACTTCTTGTACATGCTCCTACGTCCCTGAAAACTAAAAGTGGAATTACTGATCATTACTAGCTCTAAGAATTGAGAACGTTGCGGCTGAATGCATGAACCTCGCTAGCCTTTTTACTGAGGAGGGAACCCCCAGCCCATGTGGCTCTGCTTGCCTCGAGTACATCAATCTCAGCACTGAGGACAACCAGAAGCTCATGGACATTATCAATAACCTCCTCTAAGAAGGCTTTGGCTGGTAGATAACGCTGGACAAACGAAGGATGACCTGGAAATTGTACTGTTAGCAGTTCGCATGCAGCAACTCATCGCTTTGCTGTAATATGTAACAGCAGTCTCTGAATATGATCTGCTTATAAGTGTTAGCCTTCTCGAGCTCCTTTAATTTCTTATGATTTTAGACTGGAGATGCCTTACACTGATCTCGAGATTATGATGTTTTTGTATCTAGAAGGATGTATGGAGAACATCGTTTCCAACGTCTTCGTACCCTGATTGCGCAGAAGAGTAGCTTCAGATGTTCAGCTGAAATACTGCTGCTACGGTGTCGATTAACGTAACTGTACACACGAAAATGCACTTACATGCCTGGCCCGCGGGTTGGGGCAGGTCAAGATACCTGTGTGAGGCAACTTACCCAAGCGACGGACTATCTTGACAAAGTAAAGTTGTTCGAGACTATTGGGACGTGATATATAACTTTACTTAGGCTTTTAATATTCCTAATGTGGGTCTCAGTTGATTATTTCCAATCGCTACGCTGGTGCTACATCAGTGGGGCCTAAGTACGACGCACTGCTTCGGTTCGCATAGGTTCGCCGGGTTTTAATTTGTATAGATCAAGCTGTATAGTCGTGGTTACTATTACGTTTTTTTCCTGTCAGACGTGGCACCAAGTGCGAAACTAATCAAAAGTTACGGCTCAAAATCCAGAATCAAGAAGCACAAGAGATGGTGTAATGATGACTACAGGAAGCTTGTCGGATCAAGATCAATAAATCATTGCGAGCCTTAGTGCTGCCTCGTGGATTCCCACGCTGCGCCAAACCCGAAATATGTGATAATCGCCAGGGTGCTCCCGTTCCATATATAGTTTGTAGACGGTTCGCATCGCCTCATCGGTAATCTCATCTCCATCGGTCAAGAAAAACAACACCCCTGGCCCAGTGAGAAAGTCCGGGCGGTCGAGGACCACAAAGAAAGTCTGGTAGGGTTCCCTGTGCCCGGGGTTTTCGCGGTTGTACCCCTCTTGTGGGAACTTGCGGGCACTTTGTCCTAAAGCGGGCTGGGAAAGGGCCACTCCCACCTCGGGTCGCGAATTCATTAACTCGCGATGAAACGACAGAGTCGCGCCTAGTGACTGGTTGGGGGCGGAACAAAATTCAAAGTATACTGTCTTTCTTTCGGGCAGGCTTTCCAGGATCGCGGCGGTGAAAGCCCGCCCAATCATCTCCAACGTCAAGGGATTTTCGTTGCTGTGAGCAAATGTGACGTATATGATATACCTGAGACCTGGCTCCTGGATAGGCACAGTGCCTGATGTCAGGACAATAGCCGCTTTGTCGGAGGATGGCTGGGCAACAGCAATTTCCTCAGGCAGTGACTCAGCTCTGCGCTGCCACGCCTCTATAACCTCCGGCCTAGGTGGTTCAACCGACCTATTAGGGTCGCCCTCATCCTCTCCCAGGCCGTAATCGTACACGTAATCCTCAACCACATCATCACGTTGGCTTCGAATGTGAAGGGAGGCCAATTCTCGACGGACATGGTAGATATTTCGGCACTTGCGAACCACAAGCTCCTCCCGTTCCGGCCAAATTCTCTCCTCCCATCCCTCGTCGTCATCGGGCTTGGGTGAAGGCAGGTCAACGCGAGCCTGGTACGGAAAATAGCGGTCGAAATTGACGAACAAAGGTCCGGTTTCGGCTTCATCATCCGGATAATGCGGATAGTCGCGGAAACTGTAGGACATAATAACAAATATAACTCCCTGGAGTTGCGGATCCTCTCTACTGAGGGCAACCTTTGCGATCCCAGGGAAGAGACCATCATCTCGAGATGGTGAGATGGCCTTGCGATGGAATATCTCACGCCGCTGATGCTCCACGCAGGCAAATACATCGCTTTGTGGGGTACAATAGATCTCAAATGACGGCCCGGGTAATGTGGATATCTCACGGGATAAGTATCGGCATATAGCGATGGGATCATTCTCTTGATCGAGGGCAACAGTCGTATAGACCTGAATTGCGAAGGCTGGATATATCGCCTCGGGTTCCGGCGTGGTTGCTTTGTAGACTAACAGAGCTGCAGGCTGGCTTGCATGGTCTTGATAAATCTGAGCACTCCATTGTAGTCGCCCGCGCCGTGGGATATTCCTGTTTCTGGCCATTGCTTTTTCTGAGCTGACTGGAAGGAAGTGGCAGTTGAGAATGCCAGGATAGTAGGACTGTAGACTGAAAACCCTGTGCCATGTTCTAATCCCACCGCCGAGCTGACCGCTCTGCTTGGAGTTTCTGCAGGTTTCCGCTGATTGGTGTAAGTGTAAAGCCTCTTAGTCTCTTACTGTAAGCGGCAGGCCAGTCTGCCACGTAAGGGAGACGACTATCCCATTGCACTGTGAGATATCCGTCTCTCATGCTTTCTTACCTAACCTATTCTAGTCTACTTTAGGAACAACATCTACCAGCAGCCTTTGGAGAATTGGTAGCTGCTGACAGTCTAACGGAAAAATACCAAGGCATTGAAG